CTCACCTACATCGTCCACAAGGGACGACTCGGGAACTCAACTCCTACCTCGGGCAGCTCACCTTTCCCCCTATGCCCAGGGGAAAGGTATCAAGCCGTTTGACAGCTGATGCAGGCTGTCAAAACGGCTTTTACGCAGAAACAGGCGGGAGCAGCAAACAGCTGCGTCCAGCGAAGGCGCCTGCCACCGGAAGTCTCGTTCCACCAGATATTGAGACACTTTTTGTACCTTAACAACATGGATTTAGTTTTTTATCTCGATCCAGAATTTGGCAAAAGCTGACCTTTTATATAGCTCTTATTCGGAATAGAGACCTAGGAGATACATTTCAGAACCACAGTTTTCAGCTATAGCTTTTAAGAAATTATCATTCAGCTTTTGAAAGCTCAGGATATTTGAGTTAAGAAAGTTACCAAGGTCAGTCACTCAAGTTATCATTACAGCTGTGCAGATTCCTGGGTGAATTCTATAATTCTGATATTGCTTTTAAAAAGTTGTTTTTATGCATTCTGTTTTTATGATGCCTGTCACACAACATGTCATGTTTTCTAAGCAGCTTTTGGATAAAGCACTTCTGGACTTGAATAAACAAATCAGTGAAGATGAAAGGCTTTCTTCCAACCCTGTAGTGAAAATAATTTATGGGGACCCCACAGTATTCCTATCCCGTCTTCCTAAGGACAATACTATACACTCCTCTCGGATATGGAGTTGCAAGAAGAGGATCTCAGTCGAGCATCTGGCTCACATTGTCCAACTGAAAGGTGGCAAGGATACTGTGCCCATCTTGCAGAAATTTTTGCAAAAGGTGAGCATGTCAATTACCAGCGGTCAGGTCATGGGATCTGTGAAACAGAAAATATGCATTGCTGGAATCTAGTTGTCAGCTGCTTGTCCTAATTAATTGTCCAACACAAAAATGTGTGTCTGCCGTCTCTTTTTGTTTTAGTTTTATTAATGTAACCACTTTGATCTAGGAGCAGAAATTCTTTTGTCAGCTGCTTGTCAAAAGCCGAGGTACATCAAACCATGCAGAAACTTTGAAATATTAACATCACAGCTGCAACATAAGAAACCTCTGCTGGTGTTTCTATAGCACTGTCATCCAGAGACCCAAATCTGTTCTAAACTTGGAAGGTGCCGAGTCCTGTCAGATTTAGATCAGGCTAGCTTTTTTTAAATTCATGCTTGCACATGTGAAATTAATAGTAAAACTTAATGATGGGACAAATACATGGTTGTTTGATCATTTACTTGCTAATCCAGCTGCTTTCTGGGTCATCCACAGAAATCCACAGAAATCACCTGCTTTATACCCTTGTAGCGGGATTGGGCAGGAATAAACTAAATCACAGAATCACTTCTCTTAACTGGATGTGGTGGGGGGAGAAATTATTGTTGTCTTATTTTTGATTAAGAGGGAAAAAATGTCATGTTAATTGCATGTGAATCTCTGTTGTGTGCATCAGACAATCAGTTGAAAACAAATCAACAATCTTGGCTACTACCTTTTAGTTAAAAGAAAGAAAGAAAGGGCCAGCTCTTTCTTGAGAGTGGGGATCGTCATCACAAATAATATTGCGTTATTAAGGTTGAATCAATGTAAAACTAACTTTAGCTCAAGAGATTTATTCACAAACATTGCACATTCTCCAGTGCCCATCTAAATGGTGTCCAACCCCATGCAGAGTTGCTCGAACAAGAGGTTGGACTAGAGGATCTCTAAATTTCTTTCCAACCCTATTATTCTATGTTCTGTGTTCAGAAGGTTTTTAAATTCACTTGATCTCAGCAACATTAAAGGGCAATGTGCATCTTCTGGCTAAAAAGAATTTACAATCTGAAAGCAAGTGTTGAGGACTGGGTTGCCAGTTGATTGCTTTCCCAAAGGTAGAACAAGGATAGAAAGAGGAACAATCAGTATTTGTGTTAATGAAGCGTAAGAGGGAACAAGTTCCTGTCTGAAATACTACATTTGTTGATGATGCAGCAGCTACTTATTATCACACACCTTTCTAAATTGTCAACAATATTACTTTCCCAGCTTCATGAACAAATTTCAGGATTTTTCAGAACAGAAAGTGAATATCTATTAATGTTGATTTATAGTTGATCTGTTAACCATATCCATGTGCAAAACCAGGAGCACATGCCCCCAATGCTGTCCCGCTTTTGAGAAAACCAGATTTTATGTATGCATATGTGTGTGTACATAAATTAACCTTATACAAACTAAATGTATAAAGTATGTATGGTATTCTTATTGGTAGTTAACTTGTATTAATTCCTAAAGACTTGGCTTCTACTTTCTGATTTGACCTTTTCTGCCTTTAGGAAGCTGAATTGAGGCAGGTGAAATTTCTGCCAGAAATTCTTGCTCTGCAGAAAGACTTGGTGAAGAGATTTCAGAACATCTCAGAAATTGAGCATCCCACAATTGAAGATTTTCTCAGCAGTTTTTCCTCAGGTGAGATTCTCCCGTGCTCTCTGGTTAGACAGCAAAGTTTAAGAGCATTAAAGTATTTACTTAATACCAAGCATATTTAGTAAATAAAGGTGTTTAGCTGATTGGAGAGTATTAATCTGTGCAAAGTCTGTGCTTACCAAGCGTTGCAAACCTCGGTAAGGAAAGGAAAGGAGAGGAAAATGGGATCGATCACAGTTGCTCTGAGCTTCCTCCTGTGTGCAGGAAAGGGATGCTTTGATACAGATGTAAGCAATCCCTTCTTCCTTCTGTATGGAAGGCAGCTCTTGAGGGCATCCAGGAGCTGAGTTCACAAAAAGGGCTTCCCCTGCCAGAAGCCTCCCTGTTGACCCCCACTGGCCTTCTGAGGATTTAGGAAGGAAACGGTCCGGCTTTTGGGCCAATGATGTCCCATGCTTTTTTTTTATCAACTTGATTACTGGCACAAATCATTTAAATTTGTCTTTTCTTCATTTCCTTGTTCTGTGATAGTACATCATCAGGACTGATGCAACCTAGATCAAACAAAGCTAGAATTTTGAAAATTCTCATTCAATGTGGGAACAGGTACATAAATCCCTCCTCTCCATTTAGCAGTCCTCCACTTAGGATTAGTTATTTAATGAGAGCAAAAAGGGCTGCCTGCTGAGAGAGGAGGGGAACTGCTTCGTTGGGCTGCAAATCTGGAGCACAGATCCTGAAGGTCTTGACCTCCACTTCTGCAGCTCTTTGGAGGAGTTCTCTTCCCTGCATGGGAGGGAGGGGAAGTCTTCTGAAGGGCTGCAGAAACAGAGATCAGATCTCAAGAGGTCTGAGTCTGTTTTTGTAGCTCTTTGAAATTCTCCTCTGTGCATAGAAGGGAAGGTAACTCTTCCAAAGAGCTACCAAAACGGAAGTTATACATCAAAGATCTGAGCCCCATTTCTGCAGCCCCTCAAACGAATTCCCCTTGCACACAGAGGTAACCCAAACTCCGGTGGGAAGGAGAAATGAACCTCAGATCCCAAAGTTCTTTTCCTGCAGCCAACCAGAGCACTTATCTTCTGCATATGGAGGGAAGATGAATTCCTCCAGCAGACTGCAGAAATGAAGCTTGATCTTCAGGATCCAGGCTTCATTTCTGCGGTCCACCACAGAGATTCCTTTCTGCACAGAGGTGGTGGTAGAAAGAATCCTGTGGCAGCCTGTATAAATGAAGGTTGGATCCTGAAGATCCAAGCTTTGTTTCTGCAAGTTAGTACAAGAGTTCCCTTCCACTCATGGAGGGAAATTGCTGGCCCTCCTTCAGCAGGCAGCTCTAGCACTCTGTCCACTTAACAACTTGAACAGTTGCTTAATGACCGCAACTGGGAAAGCTGGGATTGCAGTCATTGAACAAAAGGGGTCATGTGGGCGTCTTGTTTAATGACCATTTTGTTCAGCGACCAAGATTCTGGTCCCAATTGTGATCATAAATTGAGAGCTACCAGTAGATTATGCCTAAGGATAAAGACTTAATGGATTTCACGTCGTCCTGTTGGGGTGGTTAGGCATCTTCCCAGATTATAGATCTCTTTCTGAAGTATATACTAGCTAAATTAAACCTTTGACTTAAATGTCCCAGAGCTACTAGGGCCATTGGGGTTATCAGGGATGAAATAATACGTGTGACTGACAGCCATAAGAAATTGTGTGGCATTTTGTGCTGGATAGATCTTAGCCTGCTGCAGCAGAGTTCTTTTTATTATCTCTTTTTTTTTAATCAGAAAGCAACACATTTTGGCAATATCCCATCTGTTTTTATTCTGTTTCTTGCATTCTCTAGGAGGTGTCAGATTACTAATGAAAGGCAGAGTGGAAAAATTTCTGGATGTGTGGAACAAGCTCAGATTATCCATAGAAACAAATGGTGAGACTCAAGCTTACTTTATCAGTCAGATCAAATGGGAACAATAAGGGATTCCTTGATGCTACCAAAAGAAAAAAAAGCCATGTTTTATTATCTTCAACTGGCCTACAGACAGTAGCCCATAAAGCTGAAGCTGTAGCTTTCTAAAATTTGCTGACCTCATGCATCCTTGATCATTGGCCGTGCAGTTAGGGGTGGGGATGGGGGGGGGCTGAAGGAATTGTACATCAGCAATATCTTGGGGGGGGAAGTGTGATGGCAATAAATCATTATATAAGCCAAAAGTGATTCAAAAACAAAGGGGAGTATTCAACAGTAAGATGGCGTCTCTGTCTTGCAAAGTTTTATGGTTTCCTTCTCCCCTGCAGGTCAAATTAAGCTTCCTAAAGATTATTGCAGTTTGGACCGCACTGTGAAAGATCCATTTGAAATCCTTTTGCCTCGTCGGAGATGTCTAGGCCTTTGTGCCACATCATTGGTCAGCTACCTCATTCAGTTGCACAATGATTTTGTCAACACCATAGCAAATGATTCAACGGATGACAATAGGTATGCAGTTCTCTGTTCTCCCTGCAGCTGACAGATACTGCTGAGTAAACAGCATAGTTGGTTATCTCTTCTTTTCCCTTCTTACTTCTCAACAGATACTCTGTCAGCCCTGCTGAAGTGGCCGATCTGCACATGATCAGTTATGAAGTAGAAAAGGATTTGATCCCAGTCATTCTGTCCAACTGCCAGTATAGCGTGCAGAAAGGAGGAGAGGCCCTGCAGGAATTTGACCTGGAAAAAATCGAACAGCAAGTTGTCAGTAGATTCCTACAAGGAAAGCCCAGGATCACATTGCAGGTATGTGCACCGGGATCATATTTTCTTGGGGGGAAAAATAAAGGACAAACCTGAAAGGAGGCAAATCTGAAAGAGGAACATCAGGATTAAAAAAAGATAATTGTATATGTTTATAATTTTGCTTTACAGAAGAAAATTCAAGAGCAAAACCAAGAAAAGAAATACATAAAGCTGTCTGAAATAAAAGACTGTCCTTTTTAATAAAGGACATATGGGGACTGTCAGGATGCACCATAGAAATGTGAGGCAACTAGTTAGTGTTCCGGAGCCTGTGAGATCCAAACTGCTAGTCCAGAAGAGACTCTTACAAAGAACTGTTGACCAAGCATTTGCTTTGTTCCCTTTCTTAATAGGGCATACCCACACTGATACACAGATGTGACCAAAACTATGAGCATCTGTTCAGCAATATCAAGACAAAGCTGAAAACTCAGGTGAGCTTTTGAAAAGAGAAAAAGACAAGCAAATCTCATTGTCATTCCATTTTGTGCTTATTTACTTGATTGTAAACCATGGGGTGTTCAATATGCATTGCTTATAGGAAGGTGTGTGTTTACTGTGCTGGACCAGTATAACTCTGGCCAGAGCATATATTAGCTTAAGAACTGTGTTAGAGCATTTAGCATTTAAAGGGTTAAATGCTGTCTTCTTAAGAGATGGCTTCTAGGGATGTAGTCTAGTTGTTAGTCAGTCCTATATCTTATCTAGTCAGTGGGAGGGGCTTCAAGGTTTATGACAGGATGTCCTGGCTACGTACTAGGGTTGTAAAGCCTTTGCTTTAATCAAGCATCATGTACACATCGATTGGCATCCGTAATCATGCCTAGCTAAGATGGGGAATTATTCCTTTTTTACCTACGAGAATGGACAGATAAGCAAAGGACCGGATGTAGCTACTGCAAAGTAAGTCTCTGCTTAGAATTCCTGATTTTTGTTTAAAACCATTTCATGGAGTTTATGCTATCTGGATCAGAACTATAACGCATCTCAGTTCATGGTTCCAGAAAAGTAAAAAAGGAATAATTCAACTCTATACATCTGCTTGGCAAAAGTAAAAAAGGAGATATTATTACTCTCCATGCTTGGCAAAAAACTAAAGCTGTATTTTTAACTGGCTGCTTGCTAGCAACATTCCCAGAACTCCTACATATAACGCATGCATACATCTGCTTGGCTGGAGTAAGAAGGACTAAAAATAGGTCTCCGTGCTTTAGGAAAACAATTAAAGCTGTGCCTTTATGCAAAGGTGAAAAGAGAGACTTTAAACTGAAGCAAGCCTCTTCCCCCCCTTTCTTTCGCATGCAAACCGGCGTGATTAGAATGCCAGGAATGTGTTGCTGGGGAGTGAAGAGATGTATGTGTGTTGAAGGAATGCCTTTCCAACAGAAAGGAAGTAATTAAGCTCAAAGTAAATAGAGATAATTTACCTTCCCAACCAAAAGAGGTTGTCTTCTTGATGAAAGTAAGAAAGAATTCTGTTTGAGTTTGACTTGAGAAATTATTCAGAACTGGCTTAACAGACAAGCTAACAAAGGAATACCCCTTGTGGAGGCATCGCTTATCAGCCGGGTCATAAATAGGGCAATTAATTGCTATGACAACTGGCTCTTGCTGGGTGAAAGAGACCCCCTCCCCTTAAGATGCCAGCAGAGAAACAAATGATTCAAGCTTGTGTTAACAACATAGGCCAGACTAGTCACAGTGCACCCTGGTGGCCAAAGAGGGAACTTCGCTGAAGTCTCTACCCACCCAGACAGTGCACCCTGGTGGTCAAAGAGGGAACTTCCCTGAAGTCTTTACCCACACAGACAGTGCACCCTGGTGGCCAAAGAGGGAATTTCACTGAAGTCCTTACCCACACAGACAGTGCACTCTGGTGGTCAAAGAGGGAACTTCCCTGAAGTCTTTACCCACGCAGACAGTGCTTCCTGGTGGCCAAAGAGGGAACTTCGCTGTAGTCCTTACCCAGCTAGTGCGCCCTAGTGGTCAAAGAGGGAACTTCCCTGAAGTCTTTACCCATGCAGACAGTGCATCCTGGTGGCCAAAGAGGAAACTTAGTTAAAGTCTCCAGAAAATTTACTGTTCAGTTGAAGTAATTTTATCTATTTTATTTATCTTGGGAGTCTTACTTATTACTTAGTAGAAAAAACTTTGTATGGAGGTTGAGCAATGGTGAAAGCAGCAGCTTGCTTGAATATGTGTTCGGTTTTACATTGCTTACATGCCCTGAAGAGATGTCAGATGGCATAAGTGCCTTTTTTATAGAAAAGTTTTTCAGGAATAAAATACCAGTTGATCTTATCTCTTTCTATTACAGAGCTCTCTTTCAAGTTCTAAAATGGGCATGATCAGAGGGGACTTGGTATCATACACTGACATCTGTGATGCACTCTCGGTCACTGAAATTATTTTAGGATTCTTGGCTACAACTGGAGGTGACTCACATATGACTTTGACTGATTACACTGAAAATGTCCTGCGGATGAGCAATCAGATAAGTCTTCCAGTGATGAAGGTAAGTGCAGGGGATCAGAGGCTCATCTTTCATCTCTGCAAGAGGAAAGAGAAAAGCCAGTGAGGCTGAGGCTATATACTGTATGTGTAGCTCAGACTGAGAAAGGTAGCTGACATTTTCCTCACTTAGATCAGATCTGTACTATTCTGATCACTGAAAAAAGTTTCTAAACATGTTCATGAGTGGTAAATATCGGTCTTGAGATTATAGTAGAGAATTATCCTTTTAATTGGACTGTGATTTGGTAGTGTTCGGGTGGTGGAAAGGAAAAGCATAGTACGACTGGAGAGCTGAAAAAGATCCCTGATGGATCAAGTAAGTACATTTCAAACAGGTTATTTACTTACAAGCAATTTATAAGTAAAACAAATATATCCCACTGTTTCTACTGGCAGCCAATGGCCATTACCACATTTTAAGTAGTACTTTCTAGGATTTATTAAGCAAATTTCCAGGTTGACCAATTATAACAACTATAAGTAGCTTAACATCTCTGGACATAAAATAAAGAATAACACCCAAAAGATGTATCATCCAGAGGAAACAGTAGAGTTAAAAAACCGAATGCATAGAACATCTTACTTCTAAATGTGAAATTTCATTAATTCTTAAGTTCAAAGCTGGGCTTTTGAGTGCAAAACAGATCATTTTTAATTATTTAGAAAATGCTTGAAATATGGATGTTCTGAAATTTTGTTCCAGACTCAAACACTATTCAGAAGAATTCCGTTTAACAATTGGAATAGTTTGAAATCTCAAGATAGGAAACATCACTAAATTAATATTTGAAATGTTTCATGGCAAAACATTTTGTGCACCCCGGCTTCTAATTTTTAAATTATATTTGATCTTGCTGCTTATAGTTAAATGTAATATTATAATTAGTCCTGCCTTTTAAAATATCTACCTCTTTGTCTAGAAGACTACTGCCTTTACCAACTGGAGCATTGCTATAGTCACCTAGAAAAACCCCTTTCCATTGTTATAATCACCTAGAAAAACCTCTTTCTTCCCAGGATAGCCCTAGACTGGGCCAAGACATTATGGTGCCAGAGCTGTAATCCACAATATACAATCTAGGTACCCTTGCATTATAAGGTGTTGAGAGGCAGTGCGGAATGTTTGTTGTCCTTTAGCATCAGCTGTCTCATACAAGAGTTGAGTTTGGTGTTGGTCTGCACAGAATTTACATGAAAAAGGTTGGCAAGTGCTCTTCCCATTAAAAGATTTCTAGAATTTAGTAGAAAAGTTGGTATTAATATTTGGCTTTATTGCCTAAATGGCCATCCATGAATGCCATTTAGAAATACGTTTGCTTTATCATTTGCAAAATAACCTTTTATGTTTGTGTATGTTCGTGTTTCTTTTAGGCACTGAGCCGATGTCAGCTAAAGCATGCCATTTCATTGTGGCAGCTCCTTTCTAGTCATAAATCAGAACAGCTGCTGCATTTGAAAAAGGTAGGATGTGGATAAGGATATGCTCCCTAGACACTTTTTGTCACTGTTTTCTCTCCGCTCCCCGCTTAACTGTTTCTCTCCGTCTCTTCCTCATAATGTATTTTCCAGGATCCTTTTGGAGAGATCAGCGCAAACTATAAAGAGGAACTCACAGTGGATAATATCGATCTTCTCAAAGCTTTCCTCACCCAGACAGCGCTGGAGTCCTTCCTTCAAGAGTTGCATGAAATGATCATGCTGAAATTGAAACATGCCAGAACTGGAGAAGAGTACAGTCCTACGTGGAGGTAAGAGTGTGAGCAGCCCAATCCCTTTTAGAGTGAAATACATCCTGTTTTGCAGAGTATCTTATTGATTGGGGCTTATTGGTTTTCTTTTTTTCCAGCCTGAAAGAAGCATTTATTCCATATCTTGAAGGAAAAGGTAGCAGTGAGCTTCAGGACTTGGATGATATGTTCCCAGAAGATATCCAGGTTTCCCAGTGTATCGCTGCCTGGAAAATAGCTGCTACTCTTAAACAGGGTGGATGCGGTCCAGGAAATTAATCTAGACACTTTTCCACTCTTCCTCACTCTTCACTGATGAGCAGAGCAGTGTATTTAATTGTTGGTTTTTCTTTATACTTGTACAAAAAGAAAGGAAGGAGATAACAAATTTTTGCACTTAGGGTGATTCTAAATTAAAGGATTATGGTGCTATATGTGAATAAATAGTGATGCACAAACATAAAGGAGTTGGTGCTTTAGATAATGAAGGATTTCTAGAAAATACAAGTTGGATAGGTACACTTGATTCAAAGAAAAGTATTTTAATTGTTAACAGATTTCTGAAAGGACCATGTAACGTCTATAACTTTGGGTTTATAGACTTCATTATAAATTTTCCTCTTTAATCTATTTAGAATTGGCAGGGAGCAGAGAAACAATCTTCTTTCCCTCGACTTCCCTGGATTTTATAAATGCTACCAGTTGTCTTTTTTTTTTTAAACAGGAACATAATTTCTTTGTAATTTTCTTTTCTCATATACTGAATTGTCTACTTCTCTGAGACTACGTATTTGAGCAAGTAGATAGAATCCCAACCATGTTTTACTGATAGTCTGAATTGAATACTATATGAAACAGGCCATGAGATTGCGCTTTCTTTGATTTACTGATTTTTTTTTCTAAGCAGTTTTAGAAATTATTTTTTTTCCTCTTAAAAGATGCTCTAAATAAATAAAAAATAAAAGTTCCATTCTTTTTTAATAGTTAATTGACATTTGTATCAAGTTATGCATTAGGCATTGTCATTCCAGCCCTCTAGATCTTAAAGAAATGGAGTTTGTGTTCTTCCTTCGATTGTATGGGGATAATGTCTTAATAGAGGTAGCTATGCTGGCAGAGAACAGTATGCCTCCACTTTTTCACTATTCAAAAAATGCAATTTATAAAAGTTACTTTCTAGTCTTTTTTTCTTATAATAAAAATATCCTTGTTACAAAAGTGTTCAGACTACGTCCCTTATTACTTCTACAGCACCATACAATGTTATTACCTTTCTTGAGCTGGGGAACATGACAGTTTGGTTTTACTGCTTGACATTTAGTTACCGGTAATTGACATTTAGCAATTCACCAAGCTAAAACCGTTAAACAATTTTACCACAGATTTCTTCAAAGCAGGGAGTTTTACCTTACATCTCGTCGGTGCTATGTGAATGTAATCCATGAACAATAGATTTAACTTGTTCAGAGATTCTTTGTGTGAGAGGAACCTTCTATAAGAATTGGGATATCAACCACACATTCTAATAATCATTGGTGCAAAATAAAAGTCACCCAACCTGCCACCTGTAAGGAAAATTGGGAAGACGTTGCTCTTCATGTGTTCTAATGGTAATTTCTCCTTTCATTTTAGTTAATGAGGGGGGAATCTTTTCTCTGTTCGATGGTAATTTTTCCTGGTTTATAGTATGCCCAATAAAGTTGGTTCTTTTTCCTCCTTTATGAAATTCCCTTCATTGGGTTTTTTTTTTTACTTAAGTTTCCTGGACTTGTACTCTGTAAAATTACACATTCGGAGCTGCAGAACAACGAGATTTTCAGTTGCTAATTAGGAAACAGGAAATTTGTTTCCTCATGTGGGAAGTCAGCCCCCCCCCCCCCCGAGAAAGAAATATTTTTGGAAATATTTAAAAGACAGAATATATTTCCCTAAAGAATTTTAAAAGCAGAAACCAACCCCGCCCCCAAATCTCTCTGTCCCAAATAGAAACCAAGTCTGCCGAATTGCAGATGCGATAATCTTGTCAGAAAGACTCGAGTCAGGAAACTGGGATTAGGAAGAAAGATCGCTAGAATCCACAATCCCTCACAGCAAAAATCTAAGAGTCATCAGCCACAGCCACAGGGAAGCAGGATATGACCTTTGGGACATAATAGGATTAACCCACCACTATCAGAATACCAGAAAGGCATACTCAGACTCAGGTCAAAGTTCATGCCACAGGAACAACTCCAAACAAAAGGCTCAAGAAATATACAAACCCACTCCCTACATGTGCTTGTTCTCTTTTCTTCCAGAGCCATCTTTCTGTCTGGCTCTCCTCTTCAATAAACTGCAACCTTTCTAAAGCAGTCGCCATGTTGTTTATTCCTGGTGTTATGATTCCGTGCCAGCCTGTGATCCTGGTAATTGAGTCTGGGGAATCAGGAGGAGGAGGAGCCTGGAGAGCCATCAGAGTCTGAGGGAGGCTCTGATGAGCTGCAGGTCATACAAACTAATGAAGAGGCTGCTCCTTCCACTCTTGATCAAGCTGAGAGCCAGCTGTGCTGAGAAGCTGAGTCAGACTCGGAGGAAGCACAGCTGGAAAACCTCAGGGATGCTTCTAAACGTAGAGAGGTCACACGAGTGGACCGACTCGAGGGGAGGAGCGACTCGGGAGGAGGAGCGACTCGAGGGGAGCGACTCGAGGGGAGGAGGAGCGACTCGGGAGGAGGAGCGACTCGAGGGGAGGAGGAGAAAGCAGTGGAGCGACTCGGGAGGAGGAGAAAGCAGTGAGAAGCCACGCCTTGGAGGCTGCGTAACAAAAAGGGAATGTGTGGGCAGGGCTGGTTGCTGGAGGCAACCATTTGCAAAGAACTTCAGAGTCAAGAGATAATGGTCTGTTTATTTTGCTTGTGAGTTATTTTCTGTTTGACTTGTGCTCCGTTTTGCTTTTAGACAAGGTCTCCATTGGAAAAGTGTTCTGTTGCTTTTGTTTTCTGGGACAATTATCAGGTCTGTAACTCAAATAAAAAGGGTTTATTTTACAGTCTACTGTTAAAAGGGGGGTTGTCTTTGTGAAGTAACAAGGGCATACGTAGGCTGGGAGAGAACACCTGGCTTGGACTGAACCTTTTCTTTCAACGCTCATCAAACTAATTACCCATAGCTATTGCTAGAGAATGGGTGTAATTTCTGGATTTATTCACAAGCATGTTGAACACGAGTGGCTTTACACCAGAACTGACACATCTGGACTAAATCTGGAATAGTAGATGTTATCTAAAACCATCTCCCTGTTGCCATGTAGTTGTGCGGGTTTTTGCAATCCATATCTGGACAGCCTTAGCTAACCTTGGATTCCAAGCCAGCACGGTCGCTCGTGCCTCTGCCCTTCGATGCAAACAGGAAGCCCAAGGAAGGGACAGAGCGCCAGGTGTAATCGTGCAGGAGGAGCACCTGAAGCCCCAGGAAGTAGGAAAACCCAGGGCGCGGACGAAATGACGGATGGGATGGGAACAAGGGAGGAAGAAGGGGAAACCTTGCGGCACTGGGAGTGGTAAAACGCCAGCCGGGGGAACCAGAGATAAAGAAGGGCTCGGGAGATCTTCCTGCCACCGGGGAACCTGAGATTTGTATTTCTTTGAGCTACCGAGTCTGGCTTCGCCTCCTGGGTCCCTCGTGGCTGCAGAGGGATAGAGGGTACCTGCCTGCAAGCCGCCACTTACCTGGCGGGTTGGGAATGGGGAGGGAAGCATGGGGCTCTTGCTGAGCGGGAATTGCGATAACTTAAAAGCCCCCAGGCAGGAAGGAAGGCCGCTAGGGGCAACTGGCTGGACCCCCCCTGCCCTAAGCTGAAGAGGACTCGCTTCTACACAAGAATGCGAGCAGCCTGGAGCATGCAGAGAGGAGGCAGTGTGGTGCCTCCTTTCTGGAATTCGGGGCTACGGATCTATACATTGTCAGCTACTTTTTCCTGGGTTCTCTAGTAGGGCCAAGCTGAGATCTTGATTCGAAGGGAGAAAAAGGAAGGGGAGCCTGGCCAGCAGATACTTTTCTGTCACAGGAGCACACTTTTTCCTGTATTTCTCCCTTTGGAGTCCAGATCACCACACAGCCCTGCCTACAGTGACATTTAATCCACCATCTGAAAAAAAAGCCCATGAAATCCATCAACATTCTCCAGGGCATAGAACAAGTCAGTAAAAATCAAAAGTTGGAGCAGAGTCTTTGGAGAAAGATGCAGTTCAAGTAGAACATTTCAGCATAGAAAAGAGAGTATTTTGGGTAGAGAACCAAAGGATCACAGGATAGCGACACAATCTGATACAGCGTTAATGAAGATGGAGAAGTTTTTCTCTCTGTAGCTCAGTTCTAGAAGCTGAGATCATCCCATGAAAAATAGTGGGAGATTTAGAGAAGATGAAGAAAATACTGTAAGACACTTAAAACAAGTTGTTTGAGCTCTCCAGTTCCTGTTAGTCTCAATAAGTAGGTGGAAAGTCACAGGTTGTTCATATCTGGAGACCCACAGGATCCCTGTTTATGAATTGAGCAGTGGGATTATTGCCACCAGGACATTGGAGATTTTTAGCCCCAGTATAAGAGGCAATATGCTTCCACATACAGTTACTAGACAACTTGAGCAGGATACTGGGTTCATTTCTTATGGAGTCCCCACATCTGGTCAGCCACAGTGGAAGCTGAATATTGTATTTGACAGACTAGCAGATTCGTGTGGCTGTTTTTATATTATTCAGTGGATTAATAGTGGAGGATAGAATGGTGGCAAACCTATGGCACGTGTGCCACAGGTGGCACGCAGAGCCCTCTCTTTGGGCACCCGCGCCATCGTCCCAGTCCTAGGCCTTCAGCTGGGTTTTATAAAACACTTTCGCTTTAGGCTGCCGCCGTGTGCAAAAAAAAGTTCAATCAATCAATCAATTTCAACTTCTTGAGGGAAAAAAAGGTCTTGCAAAGTTGGAATTGATTGATTGAACTTTATTTTTAGTCCCATACAGCGGCGGAGGAAGTGACGCATCAGAGCTGGAAAAAAGGTGCTATGTGGTAGTGGGAGTGGCAAGAGCAGGATCCTCCATGCAAGGGGTGGGGTGGAGAAACAACGTGGCAGCGCTAGCATGGTGGTAGACCAGTTGCTTCCCTCCCCCTGCCAGACACCTGCCAAATCTGCGCAGGGTAAAGTTGCCACCCCTGCCCCCACCCAGATGCCCTTGCCTCCCCCAAGCCTTTTTTTAGTAACCTGCCTTTCAGCTGCATTCCGTTTTTCCATTCGCTTCTCATCCTTCGCCACGTGTTTGTGGGACTATCGGTTAAAAAAAAAGTTCCATGAGACTTTCTAATTTCTTGTGAGATCTCAAGAAGTTAGAAAGTCTGATGGAACTTTTTTTTTACCCATAGTCCCACAAACACGGTGAAGACTGAGAAGCAAACGGAGAAATGGAATGCAATTGAAAGTAAGGTTAGTAAAAAAACGCTTGGGGGAGGCGAGGGCATCTGGGCTGGGGCAAGCGTGGCAACATTACCCTGCATGGTGGTGGGAGTGTGGGGTGCGTGCCCTTCCCATGCCACGCCAGCCTCTGCAGACCCAGGGCGGCTGTGCTGGGGCGGCAGTGGGCTGGGTGTTGAGGTGGGGGCCAGCAGGCCGACCAAAGCAGCAGGTGGAGTGCTGGAGGCTCAGGGAGGGAGGGCACTGAAGTGGGCGGTCGGGCCATTGGCAAGAGCAACCTGTCTGAGCGGAAAGCGACCTCAGAACAAGTGGGGTAGGTAAGAAAAGAAATCCTCGCTCCCCCCCAGAAATTGCATTTCTTTCCTTACCTGACTCCCAGCAACGTGCCATTGCTCCTTTGCGATCCGCTGCCGCGTGCAAGGAAACGAAGGGTTTTTTTGGGAAAAAAGGTTAATCAATCAATTCCAACTTCTTGTGAAAGATTGCGAAGTTGGAATTGATTGACTGACCTTTCCCCGCCCCCCGAAAAAAACTTCCTTTGTTTCCTTGCACATGGCAGCGGCGGTGGATCGGGAAGGAGAAGTGGCAGCGGGAGAAGGGCGCTCTGCGAGGGTTGGGTGGGGGCGGCGGGAGCAGGACGTTCCATGCAAGGGTTGGGTCAGAGCGGTGGGAGCAGGACACTCCGTGCGATGGGTGGGTCAGAGCGGTGGTGGCGATAGAGTGCTCTGTTGGGATAGGGTGGGGAAAGTAGTGGCTGG